ATGCTAGTTATTACCTTTTGCCGCTCCTGTTCCCTGGGGTTAAATCTCCTCGCCCATTCATTGCACTTGGCATGGTCATTCATAGCTATTCATAGCTATTTCCCTGCTTCAAGCTGGGGAGATCAAGATCAAGAGGAAAGTGAATAAAGAGTTATGACTGGCTCTCACCTCCTGCTCTGTGCTCATGCCCTCCTGAGTGCACTAGGGGATGGGAGACCTGGAAGAGGGTAGAAGTGGCATCCAACGGAAAGCCAAGGAGTTTTCCCTAAGTGTTTGGAAATTACTTTTTTTTTTCTCTCAGAACAAGAACTCATCATTAACACTTTAAATAGGCAATAACATAGTTCTGTGAAACTCAGATTCAAGCCACACTGGATCCACCAGCCCTGCAGGTTGCTAACACCCAGACAGGTCAGCACTCAGGCAGTAGATGCAGGCAGCAGCAGTCTCACAGCCATATCAGTTTCCAGGCTTTGTGTGGTGGTGGGTGCCTCCATTCCTCCTTGCTGCACTTCAAACAGCTTAGGACATTTAGATTTGGTAGAATCATTTAGGTTGGAAGGAAGATTTAAGATCACCAAGTTCCATCCCCCTGCCATAAGCAAGGACACCTCCCTCTAGACCAGCTTGCTCAAAGCCCCAATCAGCCTCGCCTTGAATGTTTCCACGGACACAGAAATTCATAACCCCACTGGGCTACCTGTTCCAGCATGTCACCACCCTCACAGTAAAGAAGTTCTTTCTTGTATCTAGTCTAAATGTACCCTCTTCAAGTTTAAAACCATTTCCCCACATCCTGCCACTACCTGCCCTTCCTTACAAATGTCCCTCCCCAGCTTTCCTGTAGTCCCCATTTGAGTACTGGAAGATCACTATCAGGTCTTCTTGGAGCCTTGTCTTCTCCTAACTGAAAAGTCCCAGCTCTATCAGCCTGTTTTTGTAGGAGAGGTGCTCTAGCCTTCTGATCATCTTTGTGGCCAACTTGTTATGGGTGGGACCAGCCCACCAATCAATCCTGTCCAGGTCCCTCTGGATAGCATCCTCTTCCTTTTAGGGTGTCAGCTGTAGCACTCAGCTGCAGCAGACTTGCTGCAGGTGCACTCAATCGCACTGTCTATAACCCCTACAAAGACATTAAATAACACCGGTCCCAACACTGATCCCTGAGGAACACCATTCATCACACATCTTCGCTTGGAAGCTGAGCTGTTAACTGCAACACACTGAGTGCCACTATCCAGCCAATTCCTTGTCCAGCAGAGGTCCATCCATCAAATTCTTTTTTTTCCAATTTGGCGAGCAGGATGTCATGCAGGACTGTGTCAATCGATTTTTACAAGTCCCGGTAGATGATGACTCTTCCTCTATTCACTGATAAAGTAACTCCATCATAAAAGAACACCAAGTTTGTCAGGCATGACTTGCCCTTGGTCAAGCCAAGCTATTACCACCAATCATCTTGTCCTTATTTTCCATAGATGTGATTAGGACTACCTAAGGACCAGAGAAGTAGTCAAATATCCCTGGTTTTGGGCTCAGTGTATGAACTGACATATTTTTCACTGGCCAAACAACACTGATGTACACCACATTGGTCTCACAAGGAGACAATCACCTGTGTGGAACAGCTGGTAAAAATATTCTGATTAAAAGGAGTTGACTCCTGAAATGGGAAGTGTAGAGACATTTCCTCTCCTTTGTAATTCAAGAGCAAAACAAATGAATCTGAAATAATTTGGTGATCACATTCAGGAACTCCACTAAAAACTGAGTACATTCATTCCCATGCTTAGAAATAAAACTGTAGGTATGAACTGGAGATAGCCCACTGACATTAAATCTGACAAACTTTTGAAGGCTTCTACTGTTTGAAATTATGTATTCATGGCATGGAGCACCCTTCCGTCCTTTGAACAAGTTGTTCAAGCAGAAAGGCCAGAATTTTTCTCTTCCAGTCAAGAGCAGCAGTCTATACATGGAGGAAGGAGGTACTTCTCTTTGCATGTATGGTGCTTTGAGTAATAGTCCAAAAAACACTGCCTTGTTTTGAACTGTCATTGCAATTCAGGGTCCCTTCTGCCCTATGCTTTAACAGTAGCAAGTTTAATTGTGCAGATGATTCTGAGAAAGGGAACTTTGCCTTAATACAACCAAATTATAGATGAGGGGACTGCTTCCTACATTCTTACCAGAATAGAGAATGAGTGAAACCCTATGGATTTGCTCTGACAGTTAAAGCTAAAAGAGGAAAGCGTCTGCCGGAGAGACCCATTAAAAATGGCAGAGGTTATGTGACATCTTATAGTGTGCACACTGGTAAACTGTGAAGCAAGGTGTCATTTAGGATCAGAGGTAATGGCTTCAAGTTGTGCTAGGAGAGTTTCAGGCTGGATATTAGAAATAATTTCTTCTCAGAAGGAGTGGTGAAGCACTGGAATAGGCTGCTCAGGGAGATGGTGGACACGCTGTCCTTGGAGGTGCTCAAAAATCTGTGGATGTGGCACTGAGGGATGTGGCTCTTGGACGTGGTAGGGATGGTTTGATGGCTGGAACACACAATCTTCTTACAGGTATTTTCCGATCCTAAAGATTCTATGACTCTATGATTTTATTTTTGTTTTTATGTCCTCATACTAGACCTCTATATCATAGGAATGGATTTTTCAGCTAGTGTTTAATTTTAATTGGTTAAAATTCTCAGATGCACATTCTTGCCACTCTTTCCTTAAATAAGGACTGGCTATACAGATGTAGCAGTCCTCTGCTAACACAGCACTATCCACAATAAGAGGAAAGCAGAAGAGGCAGAGTTTGCACTCAAATGAAGGCTCTTTTGTAGTAGAAGGAACATCACTTTCTATTGAAGGATAAGGCCACAGTAGGATAACCCCTCTATGGAGCTATGACAGCATCTCGCTGAATGAGACCCACTTACTGTTTGTTTTAAAATATGAATGAAATGGCACAAATTACTCTAAATCTCATTTTTATAGTAAATATTTTTATTTCATAATAGAGATTGTATGTATGAAGTTATTCTGTACAGTAAGTGATGTTTTCATGTTCTGATTTGCAATAACCGAAACATATATGCAGGACCACAAAAATAATTTTAATTTGCTAAACCAAACTGCGTAGCAAAATGCAGAACAAAGGCCTTAGCAGCAAAGTCCTCAATGAACTTTGGATAAAACTTCATAGTAGCCACTAGGTGGCACAAGGTCACTTAGAGTTTCATCAGAAAAAAAAGTTTTATGAGTAAAGAAGCTGGAAAAAAAATGTTCAGAGAGCTAAAAATACACCTAGATAACCAGTCTGGGAAATAATTAAATACTTTTAAAAAAAATCTCACAGAACTAACTCATTTTTCAAGTCTGAAAAAAAATAACATTGTAAATTGTACATTTTACTGTCTGAAAGGTTTTGATGCAAGACAAGCAAGCTAAGTAACCAGGTGTAAAGGGTTAAAGTCAACTTTGTGTTTGTCCATTTTTCTGAACCAAGCCAAATCACAACTCTCCTGTCTAATATATCACAGAATCACAGAATGACCTGGGTTGAAAGGGACCACAATGATCATCTAGTTTCAACCCCCCTGCTATGTGCAGGGCTGCCAGCCAGCAGACCAGGCTTCCCAGAGCCACATCCAGCCTGGCCTTGAATGCCTCCAGGGATGGGGCATCCACAGCCTCCTTGGGCAACTTGTTCCAGTGTGTCGCTACTCTCTGTGCAAAAAACTTACTTCTAAGATCTAACCTAAACCTCCCCTGTCTCAATTTAAAACCACTCCCCCTTGTCCTATCACTATCCACCCTCGTAAACAGCTGTTTCCTCTCCTGTGTATACTCTCCCTTCAAGTACTGGAAAGCCACAATGAGGTCTCCCCAGCGCCTTTTCTCCAAGCTAAACAATCCCAGTTCCCTCAACCTTTCCTCATCATATAGAGCCCTCTGACCATTTTAGTGGCCTTCGTCTGGACCTGCTCCAAGAGCTCCATGTCCCTCTTGTACTGGGGGCCACAGGCCTGGATGCTATACTCCAGATGGGGTCTCACAAGAGCCTAGTACACAATCACCTCCCTTTCTCTGCCGGAGATATATATTTTAATATATTTTAATCAGGATTATCAAATACAGTATAAGTAAAAAAGATTTTCACTCTGAACAGAAGTGTATCTCCAGGGCTTTTTATGTTGATCATTTTTTTTACAGAGCATATGGCACTGAATAAACAAACAAGTAAGCAGCAAAATGAGAGACTCACAGAACTACTTCTAGGTAGAAAAGGGACATAGAAGTTATTTTTAGCGTGAAAAAAAAGCCTGTAATAGCATGCTTCACAAGTATACCAACTATTAAACAGCACAATTTTCTGTCCACAGAACATTTTCACTAGTACCAGACTGTTTCCTATGACTCCCTCACATTACCTTTCCCATTCTCCTTCATCTTGCAACACCTTGCACTTGTTTAAATGTAATTAACTTCGATGCATAACAAGATTTGTGCACAAGTTCTGTAGGAATATGATTTGCGTTTGTTAATTAACAATCTGTGTCCCCGAATGTCTTCTGTAAAGTTTAGTGAACAAGTCAATTTTCTAGGAATTGTATTTTCCATTAGAAATGTCACTTTGTATATTTAAGTGAGATACAGAGATATCTACTCTGTGAGATACATTTTATCTCTCATAGTTTTTTTGCAGACATGTTGAGAACAGTACTAATCCTACATTTTGGGATGTGAAAAATTATGTTAAAATAGCCCAATTTTCAAAACTTCTTTAGAAATTGGTTTAGTTCTATACAATTAAGGCTGCAATTGTGCAGATGATTTGTAAAGAAGGCGGCTTACAAAACCTTCACAATCTGTTTGTTAGTAGACAAGACATGCATTTAGTAATAGCAAGCAAAAAGAAAAAAGAAAGAGTGAGATTAGCCAAGTGTAAGTCCTTTTAACTCAGTTGTTAACCTAAAAAGACAGTATAAAGCACCTTTTTGCTGCCAGCCTTTGGAAAGGTGTACGATTTGATTCTTGAGATAATTCCACCTCCTGCCCAACTCTAGAAACCACAATGTCAAAGAGGAACAGTAAATGTGCCAGAAAAATTACTGAAGGTATATTACAAAATGCATGTAGTATACAAGAACAAAAAACACTCCCAACATTTCTCTCGTATGTGTCTGGTAAGTGCACATATGAAACATCAAACAAATGTAGTATATGAAATCTTAGCAATAAAATTGATTTAAACTGTAATATTCTTAAACCATCCTGCATCTGTACATATGTCTTAGGGCATATGTTCTGAGAGAAAGCACTCTAGCTGAGACCTTAGCAAAGTGAACAAACTGGAAACACCTGTGATGTTTCACTTTCATCTACCACTGTGTTGGTGCATGTCTGTGTTCTTGTCTGATCTCTTACAGCTACCACATCCTCTGAAAAATTGCTGCTCCTATGCTGTATTCTGCAGATGATTAATAAAATGCAGGATCTTGCACTTCTTCCTAATAAATTTTGTTCTGTTCTTTTTTTTTTTTTTTTTAACAAAACTACTTAATTTAAACTTAATGGAAGTAACCTAAGTAAAAAAAAAGATACACATTTTGTGCATAAGGGTTTGTAATTTTTCTTTGTTCTTTTCAGGATACATTTCCGTTTTCAAAATCTGAATTCATTATATTTCAGGTTCTGCATATATGAATGCCTACGCAAGTGGTCATAAATGAGTTAGAGTTTTTGCACAAGTTTGTTCATGTATGACAACCTGGCAATATTAACTGAAGTCTTTGAGCTCCATAAATTGTAATATTAATTTGAATTTTTTGATTTTATATATTTATTTCTCTTATCCATTGTGTTTTTTCTTCTATCATGGCAAACCTTAAGTATAATGACTACTGGTCTATTTCGAAAATATGCATGTGTGATCAAGCTCCCTTTTGTCAACTACTTGCCAGAGAAATATACGTTCAGGGTTGGAAATGATCTCATACAACTGTGACTACTTGTGAGCAAGACATGTAGTCTTGATAAATCAAGGCCCCTTCTGAGTGGAAAGAAGCAGGCACTTATGAATACACAGTAATGGATTTTATGCTGAAGTGACTGTTACACAGGTTCTCTCTTTTCCTCTAAAGTCCTCAAAAACAAGCCTTCAGGATTTGTTAAGACTGGCTGCTCTTTTAAGTTGATTTATGTTAGGCAAGATTAATCATAGCTTATTAGCAAGTCTTTTACCTGTAAACTACAAGAGTCATTATTACTGCAATACACTAATGAAAAATAGAAGCTTCTTATTTGGTATTTGGAACTCAGTTTGTCCAACTGTATCTGTTCAGTCAATCCGTAATATTCATTTTGTGACCTTCTTTTCATATCCTTCACATCCTTCTGTTGATACTTTCATTTGAAATTGTTCGTTCTCATTGCAAAGTATTTGAGAATTACCAGCTTACAGGTAAGGGTTCTGCTGCTGTGAGGACAGACTGGCTCTTCAGATTGCTGAGTCAGAAATGCCAGGGAAGGGGAACTGTGTAAATCATGCTCAGATGCATACTCAAAACCAGACATCACACTACATGGCATTTAAAGCCTTTTCCCTATCTGAGAAGACCTGAAACAATCATTTTTGTTGTGATAAGTGGATAAGTGGCTATGGAGATTTTACAGTAGTCAACTCTACATAAACAAACTGGGTGGCATAAGAGAAGCAGGCACACAGTGACTTTATGCTCAGCTCTCACCACCAGAGAATGGAATGTTAAAAAAAGAGCATGAAACGTCAGTGTAATTGAGGGTAATATAGTAGCTGGAGTATGGGTATGAAGCTTGCAGTCTACTAGAGGCCACCTTGAAGTAACTAAGCTCTACACTGTCAAGACAGTGGCATCTCTGGGTCCTGTGTTGTTCTCGTTCTATTTTTTCCTCCTAGATTTAAGTTCAAAAATGCCTTTGCCCTTCCCAGGAGCAGCTTCAGATATGTAGGGATAATATGTAACAACCTGGAGGGTTCAGTCTGGAAAAGACAGCTGCCTTATTATGAATCTTCAAATGAAGTAAGAGGGTGCAAATACAGCAATTAATGTGCTCTCAAATCTCCTTTTCAAGTCTCTGCTTCATGTCCAGTCACTCAAACTGGTGTCAAAATATAATTCTGGAGCAGGTATTTGCGCACTCAGCCCTCAACCATTAAGTGAGAACCAATATGTAAACTACGTGGTGTGGATAGGCAGGCAAGTTCTTAAGTTTCGCAGTTGGACTTGATGATCTTGAGGCTCTTTTCCAATCTGAGCAATTCTACGATTCTATGAAGAACCTAGATGATTAGGCCCTCCAGGGAGTGGTGGAACAACTAACCTGAACTCCCTACTTTAGATTAGATTAACTACAGCTGAATGAGAAGGTGTTACATATCACTCCTCAGGTGGCTCTTGTAATCAAAGGAGTCTAAGAGTGCAAACAATTATAATCACAGATGGGCATGCTCACTCATGAAAATGTTAATGAAAAAACTTCCATTAATTTCACTTCACAAGGAATCAAACCATCATGCAAAACTGGATGTTAACTACAAAGTAAAGAAATATCTGTCTTTACTCAGTAAAGTGAACCTTCATTTTTGCTTCAGCTGCCATGTCTTGAAACATTATTTTAAACAGTGTTAGTGTTGATACAGTCACTAAAGAACTTGAATGTTCATTTTACACATGAAACATACTGATTTTCACATACATTATGTATATAAAACAGATTCATAAAATTAAATACTTAATAGCTAAGTACAGAAATCTTATGAAAGCAATAGGAATAATAAAATATTTTAGGCTTATTTTCTATCTACTGCTTATAAAACAATCCCTAGAAAAATAAGTTCACTCTAACAGTATAAACATTAGGATTCCCAGAAGATTATGTGACAATAGGCTTCTTGAATAAATTTATTGCTACATCACCACCTACCTTAGAAGGGGTTCCAGGAAGAGGACGAGTGTCAAAAACATTATCTGTAAAAGAATCAAATGTGGAAAGATACTGAAAAAGAAATGTACCAAAATAATAATTTACATGAAAGACCAACTTTTTACTTTCAAATCATACTGGAGCATTTCTCTTAGCTCATCTTCTTGGCTTCTGGCTTTAATATGCATCACTCACACTTCGGTACTTACTGCCACAAAGACACAAGTATGTGCATTGCCTTAATAATGACTCAAAGGAGCGTAAAAAATAAGAGCAAGTATGTTCAGCACATTCCTGGCTTTCAGTTACAAAAACAGAAGGCAGCTCTTATAGAGAGAACACTGCTTCTGAAACAGAAGAGTCAGACAAGAATCAGAATCACAGAATCACAGAATGTCCCAGGTTGGAAGGGACCTCAAGGATCATAAAGCTCCAACACCCCGCCACAGGCAGGGCCACCAACCTCCCCATTTAATACTAGACCAGGCTGCCCAGGGCCCCATCCAATCTGGCCTTGAACACCTCCACGGACGGAGCATCCACAACCTCTCTGGACAGCCTGTTCCAGTACCTCACCACTCTCATAATAAAGAACTTCCCCCTGACATCCAACCTAAATCTTCCCTCCCTCAACTTAAAAACATTTCCCCTCTTCCTGCTGTTATCTACCCTTTCAAAGAGTTGATTCACCTCCTGTTCATAGGCTCCCTTTAGGCACTGAAATGCTGCAATGAGGTCACCCCACAGCCTTCTTTTCTCCAGGCTGAATAAGCCCAACTCCCTCAGCCTGTCTTTGTAGGGGAGGTGCTCCAGTCCTGATCATCTTTGTGGTTCTCCTCTGGACCCTTTCCAACAGCTCTCTGTCTTTCTTGTACTGGGGACTCCAGACCTGGACACAGTACTCCAGATGGGGCCTCACAAGAACAGAGTATAGAGGGACAATCACCTCCCTGTCCCTGCTGGCCACCCCTCTTCTGATGGAGCCCAGGATACCATTTGCTTTTTGAGCTGCAAGAGCACACTGCTGGCTCATGTTAAGCTTTTCATCTATCAAGACCCCCAGGTCCTCCTCTGCAGGGCTGCTCTCAAGGACTGCTCCTTCCAGTCTGTATAGATGCCTGGGATTCCTCCAGCCCAAGTGCTAAACCTTGCACTTTGCTGTGTTGAACCTCATTAGGTTCACCCGGGTCCGCCTTTCAAGCCTGTTGAGGTCCCTCTGAATGGCATCCCTTCCTTCCACAAAGGCAGCAAAAGAGGAAGTGGATGCAATCTCATTTGTGTAAACACAGATGATGCATGACATTAAAGAAGAAACAGGTCCAAGATTGCGAGGGACCTCCGGATTCCTCTTATCTCCCTTAGACATAAGTGCCTCTAGGCACTATAACTGGGTGGCATTTTAAAGATTCTCTTTTTCAGCATCAGATTCAGTGAAACCTTTGTCTCACTGCACCCTACCCAAATGCCTTAACCAGCAGTGCTGGCATGCTGACGTCTCCCTGGAGTAAAGTGTATCGGAGGAGTGTCAGGACAAGCACCTTGGTAACACAGACAGACCAAGCAAAACAGAGTGCCACTTGAAGTAGTAAAGTGCATTTTTGATCTGATGTTACTTTTAGACCATCTGGAGGTGATATCCTACCATAAAATACAGGATCTGCTTCCGGCCTGCATGATCTGGTGGATTCCAACTCACTTGAAAATTTAGTATTTCATTTGTTTAAAATCTAAATTTAAATTACATCTATGACAATTAGCACCCACCCAGTTTGCAAGTGCAAAAAAATGCACACATTTTTAATAATCTATTTATGCTTTACAAAACAATAGAAATAACTTACCACTTTCAGAGCCATGTCGTGGACAGGGAATGGTCAGAACCCTTAATAATCCATCCGGTTTGTATGAATAATGCTCAACTAACTACCAGAATGAGAGGAAAAAAAAAAAAAAAGAGAGAAAGAAGAGGGAGATACCAAAAGGTAAGAGAAGTATAATTGACTGTCTCCTAATGATGTGCTTATGTGCAATAATCCATATTTGTTAAATGATCACAGAATCAAAGAATTGTAGAGGCTGGAAGGGACCTTGAGAGATCCAACACCCCTGCCAAAGCAGGCTCCCTATAACAGGTTGCAGAGGTAGGCATCCAGGTGGGTCTTGAACATCTCCAAAGAAGGATACTCCACAACCTCCATGGGCAGCCTGTTCTAGTACTCCATCACCCTCACTGTGAAGTTCTTTTTTTTTTTTTTTTGTGCCAAACGTCCTATGTTTCAGTTTGTGTCCATTTCCTCTTGTCCTATTGCCACACTCTGCTGAAAAGAGTCTGGCCTCATCCCTTTGCCTCCTGCTCCTTAGATATTTATAGACATTGATCAGATCCCCTTTCAGCCTTTTTTTCCTCAAGGCAGAACAGACCCACATCACTCAGCCTTTCCTCATAACAGAGGTGCTCCAAGCCCTTTATCATCTTCACACCTAAAACCTTACTGTTGGTATCCTTAGACCATCTTTACTTTTCTCTAGCAGAGGTGTGTATTTCTGAAGGGATTTTGTGGCTGAATCTGGAACCCAATCCAAGCACTGGATTTGTGATGCTATATTCCCCACCTGGCTGTGTTAACAACAATTTCTAAGCTCCAAATAAGTAACTTATTTTTAAACATCCAAGTTTCATCTTTGATTTTTTTTGGTGGTGATGTGTTTTTTTTTTGTTTATTTTTTGTATGAAAGATGCTCTCTTTGGCCTTAGGCTCATAATGGCATGTAAACAGTTAAATGGTATGTAAACATATAAAGCACCAATAGCTGTGGACTTTTGTGTTCCTGTATTATCCTATCCAAGCTTTTTGTCATTACATCACAGGAACATGACTCCTATTTTGGCACTAGTGCATTTGAAGGGGAAGGAGGGAGTCCGCAAGAATAGAGATGTTAAAAAAACTTGCACATTTTGCAAGCTGCTGAAAATTTCCAGTAACTCAACAAATATGCAGGATATTTATAAGAAATGCTAGGAATTAATATACTCAGGCAAAAACTTGTTTTTTAAATTAATGACTCACTTTTTAAAAAAAAAGCTTTAAGAAAGGATACTGAATTCTTCAAGGTTTTTACTTCCTTTAGCTTCTTCAACCTATCCAATCATTTCTCAAGTTTTATTACCAACTATGGCATAGTTAACTATCCAGTTCTCAACTGTTTTATTTTTAATAGATTTCAGACATCTTGTTGTAGTAATGATTACAAACCACATTTGTTCAGTCTACAAAGTAGGAAATTTCAAAGCTAAATAATGCATTATGTGTACAGCATGCCAAACCATTCCATGTGTTTCTTAAAATTCTGCTCATCATTATTACAAAGGACATAAGCAAAGCAGTGTACCTGGCATAATTGTTATTGTATCTAGTATGTCTCTTACAAATTAAATTTGTCTTCCACTCTAGAGAATGTCCAGTTAACTGAATAATGATCACAGCAGTTTAAAACTCAGTGAAGCTGCAGCATCACCATTTTAAAACGATTGAAATCTTTACATTTACTTAGCTTTCTCCACTAACGAACATTTTATTTGTGTAGGAAAACCACAAAAGTTGTAAGGAGGACAAAGAAACTGCTCTAACATGCTGCTATTTGGCTAAAGACAGTTGAAGCACAGCAAAGTAAAAGAGACTGCCTAACTGGTAAAACTACAACATGATGACAGATATTCAAGTGATTCAAATTTAACAGACCTGCCAGAGGGTGTCAAATCTTTTTCCATCTGGTATGGAGAGCTTTCCTGTCTTATCTCTGTCAATACGGTAATGCAATACTTTTCCATCATTCAGCAGACACAGGGCATAGGAACCATTGCTGTCTCTTTCTCGGATTCTGCAGGATTAAGAGAGGATTTTAGGGTTACTCTTCACTATCAATGAGGAGTTGAGTTGAAGATGCTTTTTAAAATCAACTTTTCCTTTAAGCTTTTGAGTTATAAAACAGCAAATTCACAGCAATTTCAGAAGACATTTTGTTAAAACATTCATTTATTTTTTAGTGTCATTTGTTTTCAGATAGACTTCCGCAATGCTACTCTTTTTTCTTTTAAAAGTCACCATGTGACAACAGAAAATCCATGATGTGGAGCTCTTTGCTAGGCAGCTACAGAACAGTGTGCAGTGCACACTGTGCTCTCTGAGCTAGGAAGCACTTAAAAAGCTCTTGCACTGCAGGCCTACAAAGCCCATGGAAATCCATTTCGTGTAAGCAGCTATACTTCAATCCCATCCCAAAAAATTACTAAAACAATAGATAAGTGTATTCATTACAATAAGATTCTCTTTTGAAATTAACAAATAGCTGTGAGGGTAGAAAGCAAAATACTAGAGGAAGGTAATGAGGAATATATATAATGGGAATTTTTTTTCTGTAATAAGCTTCTGCAACTGAAAAGAATTGTACATTTCTGTAATCATTAATTTCCAGAAGGACAATAATGCTTTGTTTCTGACTTCATACAGAATTCAAATGAAATTTCACACAGTATTTTGTTACAGATCACGTCTAAATTTCACTAGGGAGAAATTACTGCATATAGTACAAAATAATTCCCTAAAATTCATAGGTATCCAGGATGATATCCTGCTTTCAGAAGACCTGAGATGCCCTTACTGTGCTGAACAATTGTATACTCAGGGCTAATTCACACTGAGACAACATGTCTATAGACTGCATCCAGAGTAAGTAACAATTTGCTACTAGCTCCATCACAGTTGGTCTAGCATTTTTTAAGTTCAGACAGCAGCTTTTAGTTTAAACGCATGTGTTCAGTTGCTGCTGACAGCAGTACTGAGACAGCAGTAAAGTTAGCTGAAACTTTTCTGAATTATTTTTTCTCTCCTACGAAAAGACCAGGTTCAGCAACACCTACATTCCCAGTTTCAGTGTGCACAGAAAGGTGCTCCCTCTGTCCATTGAGTTTGCCTCCTTTCCTCTTCATGCTCCCCACTGATGCCCACAGTGGGGGGTTTGAAAATAATTTATTGTCAACGGTTTATGGGCCGGTTCGGCCCAGTTCTGTGACTAGCGGGGCGGAGGGATCCACAGATCCGCGCCTCTGGAAAAAGGGAACAGGGGACCCCAAAATAATTAGAAACAGCAGCAATGATCTGAGGAGAAACAAACTAATTTACTAAATATATTATCGGAATGCAAGATAACACACTATAATACAATGTAATTAAAATCAAAGCTAATAAATCAAATATAATGAGAGAGAGAATGTCCAAAAGGTGGATAGGCCTCACCACAACGCTGAGGTGAGATGCGCCGTCCAGTTGAGCAGTAGGGAGAAAAGGGAGGAGAGCTGACGAAAAGCAGGAGAAGAAGAGCGCATCAGGTGACCTTGCCAGGAGTTGTATCTCGAGACTCTCTGTGACTGCAAAGTCCCCTGGGGAACGTAGTTCTTCTTCTCTTCCAGGCAGGTACCCAGAGCTTGAGCATTAACAGTTAAACTCCCAGTGCCTCATATGATGTTATGATGTGGAATACCGAAAACCAAAAATTACATAACCATGACATTCATAGAATCTTAGAATCATAGGGGTTGGAAGGGACCTCCAGGGATCATCGAGTCCAACCCCCCTGCCAAAGCAGGTTCCCTACACCAGGTCGCACAGGTAGGCGTCCAGGCGGGTCTTGAATATCTCCAGAGAAGGAGATCCACAACCTCCCTGGGCAGCCTGTTCCAGTGCTCCGTCACCCTCACTGTAAAGAAGTTCTTGCGCACATTGGTGCGGAACTTCCTGTGCTCCAGCTTCTGGCCATTTCCCCTTGTCCTGTCTCCACACACTGCTGAAAAGAGTCTGGCCTCACCACTCTGCCCTCCACACCTTAGATATTTATAGACCTGGATCAGGTTCCCTCTCATTCTTCTTTTCTCAAGGCCTAAACAGACCCAGATCACTTAGCCTTTCTTCATAGGGGAGACGCTCCAGGCCCTTCACCATCTTTGTGGCCCTCCGCTGGACTCTTTCCAAGAGATTCCTGTCTTTTTAGTACTGGGGAGCCCAGAACTGGACACAGTACTCCAGATGAGGCCTTTCCAGGGCAGAGTAGACGGAGAGGATCAGCTCCCTCGACCTGCTGGCCATACTCTTTTTAATGTACCCTAGAGTGCCATTGGCCTTTTTGGCCACAAGGGCACACTGCAGGCTCATGGCCAACTGTCGTCCACCAGGACACCCAGGTCCCTCTCTGCAGAGCTCCTCTCCAGCAGGTCATCCCCCAACCTGTACTGGTGCATGCAATTATTCCTCCCTAGGTGCAAGACTCTACACTTGCTTTTGTTAAACCTCATCTGGTTTCTTACTGCCCAGCTCTCCAGTCTCTCCAGGTCTTGCTGAATGGCAGCACAGCCTTCGGGTGTGTCGGCCAATCCTCCCAACTTCGTATCATCAGCAAACTTGCTGAGGGTGGCCACTATCCCCTCATCAAGGTCACTGATGAAGATGTTGAACAAGACTGGACCCAGCACCGATCCCTGAGGAACACTGCTAGTTACAGGTCTCCAACCAGACTCTGCACTGCCAATGATGACCTTCTGTGCTCTGCCAGTCAGCCAGTTCTCAACACACCTCGCTGTCCACTCATCTATCCCACACTTCCTCAGCTTTGATGTAAGGATGTCATGGGAGACAGTGTCAAATGCCTTGCTGAAATCAAAGTAGACTACATCCACTGCTCTCCCCCCATCCACCCAGCCAATGACAACATCGTATAAGGTTACCAGGTTGGTCAAGCATGACTTCCCTCTGGTGAACCCATGCTGACTACTCCTGATAACCTCCTTTTCTTCCAGTTGTCTGGAGATCACATCCAGCACAAGCTGTTCCACCACCTTTCCAGGGACAGAGATAAGGCTGACTGGTCTGTAATTACCTGGATCTTCCTTCTTGCCCTGTTTGAAGACTGGAGTCACATTGATATCCTCCAGTCTTCAGGCACCTCCCCCATTCTCCAAGACCCCTCAAAGATGACAGAGAGCGGTTCAGCAATCACCTCCACCAGCTCCCTCAGCACCCATGGATGCATCCCATCAGGTCCCATGGATTTATGAACACTGGTGTTGCCTAGGCGCTCTTAGACCGCCTCTTCCCTGACTAAAGGGAAGTCTTTCATTCCCCAGTAACCTCCAGGGTCTGGGATTCCAGAGAGAGAGCTTTTTCACTGAAGACAGAAGCAAAGAAGACATTTAGTATCTCCACCTTTTCATCATCCCCCGTTACCAGAACACCCCCACTTATTAGGGGAGCCACATTCTCCCTAGTCTTCCTTTTACTGTTAACATACTTAAAGAAGCTTTTTTTATTATCCTTTATCACCTTTGCCAGATTCAATTCCAGGCAGGCTTTAGCCTTCCTTGTCACATCCCTGCAGGCTCTGACAACATTTTTATATTCTTCCCAAGTGGTAAGACTTTTTTCCACATTTCATGGACCTTCTTCTTCCCTTTGAGTTTACACATGAGCTCCTTACTCATCCACACAGGTCTCCTGCCACCCTTTCCTGATTTCTTGCTCACAGGGACGCACTGATCCTGAGCTTGGAAGAAGAGCTGTTCAATGCCGACCAACTCTCACAGGCCCCCTTACCTTCTAACACCCCAGCCCACAGGATAGCTCCAACTAGGTTCCAGATCAAAGTTGGCTCTCCTAAAGTAGCAATCCTACTTTTCTCCAGGGTAGCAATCCTACTTTTTGTTTTGCTTCTTCCACTCAAGATCTTTAAGGTCCCCTCCAACCAATGGCATTCTGTGATTCTATACTAATCAGCTCTGACGAGCTATGGAGTAACCTGCTTGACCACTTGATTTCCTAAGGCAGTGTGGGACACTGAGCAGCTCAGTAATTTGCCATATCAATTGAGCCCAGATTTGAATGACCCTCAAGAAGATTTCAAAGTGCTGCTCAGAAAGAATTGAGAACAGTATTTACAGAATCCTTTTTTTTGCAAGAGGAAAGACAATTGAGGTCATCTACATCTGACCTTATTTGTCACTATATACATCAGCGGTTATTATCTAGAAAAAGCAAGCATTAAATTCCGTTCCTCAGTCTCTGAACTCTGAGCTAAAACTGTCAGTCTCTAAACTCTGTTTTACTGCCGATGCAACTATTTTTTATGAAGTGATTTTTGTTGCCGAAGATGTGAACAGGACACTAGCTAAAGGTAGAGGGAAGTAGAGATTCTTTTTTTCTGTAACCAAAGTAACTTGCATGCTGTTTCCAAAGCAACTTGAAACACATCGTGGTTTTTCATGACAAGCAGGTGTTTTCTCAGCATGCTGATTTCCTGTGCTTACTGACCAGTGGAGAACAACAGGTTCTGCTAAAATGAAGAATGACTTTTGCTTTGTCTTTCTCTGACTTGCTCCTAGCAAAGGCTTGAAAAGATGTTTTCAGAATAGAAGACAGTGTTTCCAAAACATGAATTGCATTTCATTGTGTTCAGAATACCGCACAAGTTAAGACTGTAAAAAATTTACTGGTTTGTTCCTCAGTTCCAAGTTTGCTTCATGTTTCAGATGTGGAAATAGCTTCAATATGACTGGTCCTACTGAAACTGATTCCCTTTTGCAGCAGTTGCTACTACCACAGGAGGTACTCTAAACTAATTATTAAAAGCACAGACATCAATGAGAAAAGTCCCGATTTCTTAGGACCGTGACACAGATCCAGACAGCTCCATCAATATGCTGTACAGGATTTAAGCAAAATTCATGTTTGTAAAGTTTTCTTAAGCTGTGCTCAGTCAACTTGAGAACACTTTGTATCCCTAACAAACAAAGCAGCAGAAGACACTTGTACCTTTCAAAACATGTCTGAAGAATA